GGACTGCACCGGAGCCCGGGCAATTCGCCCGGCCGTGTTAACCAACACCGGCAAACGATGATCCATGGTGGCCTCATCCAGCTCGCCGCCAGCCAAGGCCGTTACGATGCGCAGGATGGACAGTGAGCAGGCCATCCGGTCCGTCAGGGTGTCAATGCGGCGGATCAGCACTTCGGCCAGCGACAGCAGGAGCCAGCACAGCTTGAAGACCTTTGACTGCAGATCTTCCACCTGGAACGGATCGGTGTCGAGCGGCGGCAGCGCAACACTTCTCTGAGATATGATGGGCGTGGAGCTCCACTCCCTTTTGACGATGCGCAGGCGCACCTGGTGTGGATATCTCAGGGACCAGTGGCCAAGACAGCACTCCAGCATTTCGACTATGGGCATGCGCATCGGCGATGGGCCGATTCCATGGGCCTCGGTGCCGGTCGCCGAGGGACCACTGCCGAAGAGCCTCAAACTGCCGGCCGGGAAAGGGGATGGCCGGTCGGCGCTCGGGGCATCGCCAGCCAGCAGGGCATCCCACTGGTACTCGCCTCGGGCCGGCTCCTCCTCGCCAAGGTCCGCCAAGTACAGCGAATGGTCCTCGGTTGAGGGCAGGGCGAAGGGTGCCGGCCGCCGGCCGGCCTCGCTGAAACCCGACGGAAACATCCCCTCGAAGACCATCCGCAGGACCAGCACCAGGTGAATCGTAACATACAGGAAGGTGCCTTTGTCCAGGTCGTCGGCCTCAAATGCGTTGATTCGGTCGATCAAATAAGCCAACAGGCCATGGGAGCTGCTGGCCTGTGTATGCATGCACGTGTGTGAGAAGGCCAAGAGAGGGTGTGTGACCGTGTGAGGGGGCAGCGGAAGGGCACGCACGTCAAGGTACTTCCGAAGCTGGAGCATCAAATCCGCCACAAATACATATGGCCAGTCCTTCCTGTAGGACTTAAACGTGCGCCAGCTGGAGGGCACATTGTCATCGTGGCCCAGGGGAAGGAGGAAGGGGGGGAGCATGTGTCCATTTCTGGTGCTTAGGAAGAAAGATGTGTGTGTGTGTGTGTGTAGGGGCGTGTGGGGGGGGGGGGGGGGGGAAGAAAGCAGGGAAGAGGCCACGACCCCCAAAAACAAGAAAGGAACCGAAAGCCAATTAAAGGTGGAAACATCGGCCTGGCTGGCCAGGTGTTGCAGGGTCCGCAGCGCGTGGTAGCCGAGCATGCACCGATGGACCGAGTGGCTGGATGGCAGACGTCAGCAAGGAGGGGGAAAAAAAAGCAAAGCAGGCAGAGACCACACCCCAGCACACCGCAGCCAGGACTCTGACGTCCACACCCAATGGGAGGAGGAGGAGGGCAAAAATGGCTCGTTCAACCACCACGCCAGCTGGAGCAGGCGAGAACACGCACAAGGCTGACATATCCCGGGCGAGGTCGCCAATGGCTCTCACGGGACCCATGACCGCCATGGCGCGCTTGTGGAAGAGAGCTTCTGCAGACCATTGGTCCGCGAGTCCCACCACCCGCACCAGGGCCGACACCATGCGCCCATAGATGTCCGGGGTGTCGTTGAGCCACACAGACGAGGCGGCCCCAAGACAGATGGCACGCAGGGCCGCCAGGGCCAGGCGCGAAATGGCCCGGTCATGGGCTGACAAGTCAGCCGGGCGGTCAAGCAGCGCCGTGAAGCCGGCAAGCATCTGCTCGAAGAGGGGAACAAAGCACGACGGGAGCAGCGGGTCCTTGCTGACCGGCACGCGGACCGCAACCAGGGGGAAGAGCTAGGGCGGAGGTGGGGGGATCTTTGTCGGGGGGGGGTGGGAGGGCAGAGATGTGTGGGGTAGGTGGGTAGGGGGGGGGGGATGGTATCACCCGGCGG